ATTCCGGTACTTATTTTCTGATTAACCAAAACTATTAGCGTGCCCCACGTGCAGAGGTTATTTCAGTCATTAATTAGTGTATTTAGATGTTACGAACTCGTACGGGAAGACATAGAAATCGGAAGCTGGACAATATAATGAGCTGATTACGTAACAATACACATAATTTATTGCTGATATCAGATGATCGCCATAACCATAATAGATATTATATTCCCTCTTTAGTTATTGTAAAAGTTTTATCTACCAGTAAATTGTCTTCCTAAATTAGTCCACTCATAGTGAGAAGCGTGTAATTAAGTCGAACAGGAGTTTGTTCTCAAACTGTCAGGAGAAATTAGGACACGTCCACGAATGGGTTAGGGAAAAAATATATTTTCAAACAATTAGGAAGTCTTCTATCTCAATTAATATGTTTCGCAATAAAAACGAAATTTATGGCACCAATATCAATATAAGTTCGTTTTTATTATACCTGAATCACAATCTCCGTTTTAAACACTCAAATGCGTGCGAAAATAGTATATTAAAGAACAAGTTTCATAAGTAGCTGTTTTATCGCACGTGTCCAGTTTGGAAAACGAGCCGCGTAGCGGCGAGTTTTCCAAAGGACAAGTGCGATAAAACGGCTTATGAAACGAGTTATTTATACTACTTTTTCTATTTCGCGTGATTTCTATTGTAAAAAACTAAAAATAGTTCAAAATTCTGTACTACTTCACATTAGTTGTAAATGTTAAGTTGGTAGCACTGGTTCGCTTTTTCAAATTGAAAATTTTGAAGTTTCAATTTTTGCGCAGATATAGCGAATTGCCATTTGGTACTGCAATTTTTGTGAAATAGAAATGGAAGAGCAGCACGAAATCATAACTTGCACGCCACCTGAATTGCGGGAAATAGCAAACAGTACCGTAGATAATTTGCTTCCGCAGAAATCGAAACTAAAATATGAAAAGGAATACCTTAAATTTGACCAGTGGTGTAAAGAAAATAAAGCCCAACACATTTCGGAGAATGTTTTATTAGCATATTTTGAATTACAAACTCATTTGAAAAAGCCATCGTCATTATGGTCAATGTACTCGATGCTACGATCCTACCTAAATGTGCATAAAAATGTAGATATATCAAGATACGTCAAGTTACAAGCACTGCTAAAAAGATTTTCGCAAGGCTATGAGCCAAAAAAATCAAAAATTTTAGATTTAGAGCAAATTAATCGATTTATTCAGGAGGCTGACGACAAGCATTATTTAGATACAAAAGTAAGTAGAATTTTTTGTTCTAGTGGGTAGGTAGGTACTAGCTACAGGAGTATCTTGTTTGTATTCTCGTTGTAGGTTATTTTAATAATGGGCTACAGTGGGGCATGCAGACGCGAGGAGCTGACTAATATGGCACTGGGCGACATCCAATATAAAAATGATATTGTTGTCGGTGCCTAAAACAAAAACAAATGTAATGAGACAGTTTGTCATCACCGAGAAATTGTGGATTGATATTATAAAAAAATATAGCAGCATACGCCCAGTTAATACTTGCCATCAACGATTCTTTGTAACATACCGTAGTGGTCGCTGCATTACTACTTCGATCGGAATCAATACAATGGGCAAGACGCCACGAAAGATTGCAGAGTTTCTACAATTAGCCAATCCGGCACAATACACTGGGCACTGTTTCCGGCGTTCAAGTGTCTCACATTTAGCTAACAGCGGTAGTGACTTGGTCACCATTAAACGACATGGCGGGTGGAAGTCCTCCGCGGTTGCCGAAGGATATATTGAAACGTAGGTTCAACGAAAAGTGGAAGTTGCAGGAACTCTTGCCCAAGCAAGTAAATCATCCTCATCATTACATGGGATTCTTGCACAAGGATGTACATCAACACATGTAGAAAGTGCCGTTCCCAGTGCTATAGTTGAAGGAAATATAAATAGTGCCGAACACAACATCATAACCCACAATTTACCTGGTATCAAAGTCAATACACATGATGGAGCTGTTACCGTCAAAGTGTACAATAATTGTACATTTACTTACGCAGATAAGGACGAAATCTAAGTTTGTTGTATTTACTTTATTATGATTAAAGCTTTCGTTGTGCAATTTTAGTTAGAAAAGTTTGGTTATGTTATGTACACATTGAATAAATACCATCGACTTATTAGCATTTGCAATGTTACCAACAGTTGAAAACAAAATCTATGCGGTGCGTTAATGGCTAGAACGATACGCGATTGCGTGCGGTAATGGAGCTATAAACAACGCGAAATAGAAAAAAGGCCTTTAAAACACACGTGCTTTAAAGTTGCTAAGTAACGATACTTCAAGTATGACTTTTGAAACTGTCATCTGGGCGAAATAAAAAATCTTCCTAAGTCGCTTTCTGTAAATGCAGAACATTTCTTTGGCTTGTACCTATCCTTTGGTTGAAGCTTTTACAAACGCGCGTAATTTAGGGTATGCTTCCAAATCTGTTCCACTTTTTAGTCCCAGCAATAAGTGAAGTTTTGAATGAATGCACCAAAAGATAGAAGATTAAATACCTTTGACATTTCCTTCATATATGCCAGCATTATCGATGCATTTAAGACTTTATTCGTAAGTAACTTCCTATTCATCCATGGAAACAACTTTTCATATGCTTGATAATAGGCTTTACTGGATTGAGATTTTACACCTACCAACGTTTGTTTAGATTTTACAAGCGATTTAATGGACGGTGTATTATCTTTTTCAACGGAAATCGTTTAATTCACAAAAACGACGATTTTTATAAGCAAACGTCAAGTGACATTTACATGGCAATCGTGAAATTACGAACACCCAGCCCACTTAATTAGACATGTATTCGAGTATAACGTCAATATGATTTCATTGAATTTCCTATTTTTAAATTATACTGCAGGTATAATAAAAATTACTATAAGATACACGTGTATAATTGGTCTTTAAAGCACTTGCAACGTTAAAGGCACTCCGCTTTGCGTCGTGCCCTTAAACTCGTTGCGCGTGCTTTAAAGACTTGATTATACACTTGTATCTTAATATACTATTATAATCCGTTATTATAATTAAAATTCGGCTTGTAATTATAACTATAACTTCGTAATAAACTTTTTACGGCGCTGAACTTTTTACGAGATATATAAGTTTTATAACCTGATAGGGATTGACGTCGCGGAAAGATAGCTCAATCAAAGTTAGAGTATAACTTATTTCAACCCTCCCAGACAACTTTGTTGTGCTTTTTTACAGCGGTATTGGCTTATATTTCTTATTGGTGATAAACCGAACTGGGCTGTATTTAAGTTTATCGTCTTTAAGGTATACCTAATTGGGGAGGAAAATATTTATTTTTATGCGCCACGCTTTAATGATCGCACGGTCTTTCTTTAAACTTGTTCCCACTAGAGAAAGTTACGGAAACGGAAACTTTCGGCTTAAAATTGTCGCGATAATTAGTTTCAAAATTGTAATGTCATGTCAGAGTGTGCATTTAGATAAAGCTCGTCAGTCTGTTAGGAATAAATTCGGAGCATTCCAAATTTATTTGGGAAATATTTTATTTTGCTAACTTCATTGAGTCCAATTATTTTCATACTTCGATTGAATTTACGTTTGTCTAGGAATAAATAATTAAATTAAATCAATAACTCCCGACTACTTGTCCTATAACCATTCACGAATACTATATTTTTTTGCTTCTTATAGAGTAGGTTTAGTTGACTATCACTTGTACACTTTTAGTGGTGAGAGCTTCCACTTCAGTCGAGCCCCACCATTACCTCATCGAAAAACGTTGAATAAGTAAGACTTATTTGCATGCCTATATCGTGTATAAAATTTGATCGCCTGTCAATGCAAATTTTCGCAACTTAATACTGAAATATGTCGAATTTCTGAAAATAGGTAACTGAGGCGGGCACCAGAAGGATATAGTGACTAGAATGCAATTGAGACATTTTTGTTTTGTGTAAGGGGAGAGTGTCCTAAAATGGCATACTTTTTTCAAAGATGCATAAATTCAATCGATCGGATCGGTCGACTTAATTTCGCTGGTTCGACTCGAATTCAAATAACTTAGCGATAAATTCCTGGTGGCTGACAAAAGTTCGTTCACGGCTCCACACGAATTTTTCCAATACAAAATGAAAAAAGCAACACCCTAAGTTATCTGTGGGTGACCGACTTAACTTCTTTTACCGCTCGACGCAAACACTATCCTGACTTAAGGCGTATTACCATGGTTTTCCACCAACAACCAAATTCCCACTACCTTTATTTTTTAATTCGCACCCATTCTGTGACGTACAATCTTCTCCACCAACAAAATCATTTTTTCTAGCCAATGACATTCCTTGACAGGCATAAATCGACTGCGCCCCGACCGGAAATTCCGCTGACTTAACAAATCTCACGCTTCCCAGCAACAACGCCTGCAAAATTCCCCTATAATTTGAACAATCCACGCCATATCTCACGACTTACCGGTGCCCTAATCTTTCAGACACATTTCACCAATCAGGGCCATATTCCGGGACTCGCCCACATAAACAAATCGAAAAAATTTAGAAAATCCTACCAAATAATGAGGCTACCCTTTATATCTTGCATGAACAAATTTAAAATCTGCGCAAATCCGGCGACGGACTGCTGTTACAAATGTGAAGAATAAGGTCAGATAGGCGCAAACCTGTTAGTTTCGCTGTCTACTACTGATTATTTATATCGTAGTTGTTAGTAACTGTAAGCAATAAGATTTACCTGATGAAAGTTGAGATCAGTTTCAGTTGACATTTGTAATAACATTACAGTTTAATCATTTCTGTTTGAGGAGCGTGAATTGGATAATGGCGTAGTACAGAATGAGTTTCTAGTTATCAAATTGGATTAAAAACTATTATTTGTGCGTATTGCGTATAGTCGCGTTTATATTAGTAAGATGTATGTAAAAATCTGCATTGTACCATCTAATCTAATATTTTACTTTTCAGTGTCATTACTTCGATTTCGAAGAGGAAATTGATTTTCAAACAGGAAACGAATACATGGTGAATCACGCCTCGTCATGCTCCATTCAATAGCAAATCGTTATCATGAGAGAATGTTTTTTAAAAAATATTATAAACGTGAACTGTATACAAATATTTCAGTATTATTCATGTGAACGATTGAAACTTGAAATGTGTAAAGTAAATGATGTATTTCGTTGAGAGTAAAACTGTTTTAAAAAGTTAGTTTTTATCCCAATGCATAAAAGAAACCTTATTGTATATTGATTGTTTATTCACATGACGTTATTCCATCTGAGCTTGCATTTGTTTAAGCTATCAAAAAATAAATTGTTTATTTTCTATGAACTTGAAGAATGTACTTGTTATTTTAATAAATATTTAAAAATGTTGTATAGCACTTATTTATGGTCTTCAATGTTTTTACTTCATAAAAAAAAATCTTATTTGTTTTTCCCGCTACTAAAGGACCGGAGTGGCATAGTATCTAAAATCTCTACTGACAGGATTTTTAAATGTATACAATATTGTGTAACGAAGAACTCGTTTTCGGCGTAGAAATTACCAATTTTAGTGATCACTTTTTAGATGAACACCCGGTATCTGGAAGCGTTTTAAGTTGGGCGCTTCGTTACGAAATCGTATACGAGAACCAGCATTAAACCGACAAGGTCGTGCACGTGAAAATCAACGCGATAACAGATTTCGCCGCTTGACCTCACAGTCCAAGGAACAAAAGGGCATTACTGGACTGTCGAATTTGGAGATTTCATTCCGACTAATTGGATATTTAACATCCTCCGAGATTAAATCCGATAGCTACGACCTTAAAAAGTTTGAATTTTGACACTGGTCCCATATTTCTAAGACGTCTGGGAGGGACGTAATTAATTATAGTTCCATGACATAGCCAAATTTTATAAACTACCGCATGGAATATGATTTTAGTATTTGTTTGAATTTTAGTATGCGAATTAATTACAATTAGGTACCTAATTAAATTACCTAGATTGGTGCTACTTAAAATTGTAAAAAGGATTTTATAGTACATTAATCAAAAAGGTGGAGAACCGCTGATTTAATGTACATTTTTTTAATAAATACGTGGCGGGCATAGGAAGACACATTTTTTTAAAAAACCAAACTTTTAGTATTAACAACAAACAATACCAACGCACTAGCCTTGCTTTTTTCATAGGTTGAAATGTTGGTAACTGTTTTTGGGGTTGTTAGTTGTCACCAAAAGATTTGTCTTAAAAAAGTGTCTTTGAGTTTAAACAATGAAGGAATTAACGGTTTTCGCGCTTCTATATGGAAATGTTTGCATTCAACAGTGTCTACCTAAGGTCACATAGGCCTTAAAAACCGCCTGTGGTGACCGATGTCGTTGTATTATAAATAGTGGGCTGCTTGTGTCTTAATAGAATTTACGACAGTATCTGAGTTGCCAATTTGTCCTGGAATACTTTTACGGTTAGTAGGTATACCTAAAGCAACACTGTACGTTGTACGCTCGTTATATGTGTAGGTACGTTATTTTGATGGTCGTGTGACCCTAGCCTTAGCAGTGTCATGTAACCATGGACGACGCAAAAATACAAGTACGTTTTGCCATTTACTCCAAGAAATTGATTGCCAGTTTTAGAAAATTTTATAGTCATCTTGAAGTTCCGTCACAATTACTCAAAATTCGCCACAAAAGGACGTAAATCTTGATCAGCTAACGGTTGACAATAAGTGCCAAAAAAGGTGATAGCAAAAAGGCACTGGTGGCAATCTCGATTAATTAACGACCATGAATGGCAAAATCAAATTTGGTCCCTTGTGTCCGTAAAATTTTGATGGGTAAATAGATTGTAGAGAAAAAGTGAGAGGTGGTGTGTAAAATAAATATTTTATTGAAGTGCGGATAAAATACATAAAACAGCGACGAGGTTTTCACGTTGTAAATACTCTCACGGAAACACACCTCGATTAGAAGATTGCTTGGAAAATAAAATCGTCTTACAACGTATACGCATTTGAAATTTAAAGTACTTGTAGGTATGTCGTCGGACAAGTTGCTGAGTGCACTAAAATCGAAATTTTCAGCAAAAAAAAACATCGCTGTACTTCCATCAGTATTTATCAATGAATTGCCGCTGGTTTAACCGATTTCTGCCCTTCATATAGGAAGTGCTTCATTTCTAAAGAACGTATTTCAGATCACATAAATATCCATTAGCACGTTCAAGACACAATGCGTATCGCCAAACGTACAAAAACTCGACCTGAATACAAATACTATCCCTTCATAAGATATTTGTTTTTAGGGTTATCTGTATTTGACAGTTTCATCTTGGGGGGTTTGTCTCGGAACGACCTCAAAGCGTTTTTACATACTTGTGATATTGTTCCATTAAAACTCCGCCTTCAAAATTAACTATCTCTTTGAAGTAATCTTAAAAGTCTAAAATCTCTTTGTGTCGAGTTGTATACATAACGTAATCAATGATCGTGACTGGAAAAAAATTGATGTTACAGATACTCGTACAAATAGTTATCTGTAGTTGTAACATTTAGTATTAAAGCGAATATTCTAGAAATCCCCATATACTTACATCGAGGCGCCCTAAAAGATTAGTCATCGGCGATAAGATACGAAAGCGGTTGTGACGCATTCTTTCCGGGAAATATGACGTGTTTGTTCGACATTCCAGAATATTCGCGAGCGCTCCAGAAAAATGGGCGTTTTCTATATAAGTAAAGGAACTGTACTTCAGTTAGTTCTAACATCGATGCGGTCGTGTTATGTTTTAAATTGTAAGTGATAGATACTAATTAACTGTTATAGATTAATCCATTTCAACACTGTTATGAATTTATTAATTAATTGTAAATAAATCACGTAATTAAATAGGTATTGCATTCCAAGGTGGATTCATAACGGTGGCGGCACTCTGATCGTTTTATATAGGAAGCGCGTTTACCAAATCTGACCTCGCATGCTTATTGCCTACCTTCCAGTCATAGGCTGGTTTTACTATGGAGTCTTATGGGAGATACTACGTTTTTTGTGTATATAATCATTATTTAAAGATTTCTGATGTTGTACCTTATACAATGTGTTAGTGTACCCATGGATTATGATTTTACCTTACGGCAGCAACTTCATTTTGTTTCTCCAGTACAAAAAAAAATGTTCAAAGTTTTTCCGCCTGCATGTAGGCAACAAAGCGTTCAGATGGGTGCAAGATTGTCATTGAAATAAAATAACAGCTATGCCGCTCAAATTTATTTATACAATTTTAAATTTCTTTATCGAATCTTTAATTTTTTTTCTTTTATCCGCATCCTCTAGTCTGCGTTTGTTATATTGTTTGCATGTAAAAATCATGCGAGTTGTTAGATGAAACCGTAAAAGGTCTTTCGTCAATTTCCTTTTGTGTAGTTCACAGCCCACTGGTTTGTAGGTATTAAGTTTGGCATTTTTAATAACTGCAAAAGTAAAATATAATTTAAAAAAGTTAATATCGTGCAAGCAACATGCAATAGTATATTATAAGTAACAAGGGATTAAAAAGAGTTGTTGTTTTCGAAAGAATAGTTAATGTTCTTGAGGGACCAAAAACTAGTTTGATCCAGTGTTACTTATACTATTTTTTCCAACACCGACCGTTCTAAATTCATTTCGAAATGAGTATGATTTATATTATAAAAAACACTATCAAAAAGTAAGGTAGGCTATTTAACAATATGTCATGATCACAAGGGATAAAATTTTTCTTAATTCCTAGGGATTAAAATTACCTGTTAATGCACAAAAATTAGGGATTAAAATCAATAAAAACTAGGCGATATTGGAAAAAATATTTAAGCACTGTGTTATGGTGATTCGGTTAAGACTTTGCTTACCTTCAAAAAGAATATTGTCACCTAATGATGTGTGTTGCAGTGTATGGCATATAGAGCTTTCAAGATTATAAATTATTTCATATAATCCCTCAGATGGCGTGAGTAAATGTCCATCATTCCTTTTGTTAATGTAGGAATTATTTTCATTTTTGTCGCATATCTGGTCAGCTTGCAGCAATCCAAAGCATTGATCGCAGTGCTTTGCATCTGTGGCTTTCCTTGCCTTTCTTGCTACGTAACCGCAAAACATGCGTAAAGCTTTTTCGTCAATTTTATTAATTTCATGATATGAATGGTCAAAAAGCGAAATAAGGGATTCAACCGGTTCACCATTGTCAAGAAGTTCATCCAACTCTTTTTCGAATTTTACCTGTCTTTGTTTTGCAGTCTCAGATATAAGATCACTTGCATTTAATAATGAGTTCAACATTTCGCCGCCTGTTATATAACTACCTCTTGGTGGCTTAACAAGAGATGCAACAGATAGAAGGCGATATACCTGAATGAATTGAAGTGGGTCTGGATGAGTATTACATCCACACGCTTGGCGGACTTCTCCAAAGAAATGCTAAAAAACCATAAATAAGTAATTATATTACGCACCTTATCCAAGGAGATTGCATATTGCTGTTACTTTTAAACAAGGTAGTACCTCAATTGCATCTTGATTCATACGTCTTGTCATAAAATACTCATAATGAAGATTATTAATGTTAAAATGTAAATAAAACAACATGGTTTTAAGACAGAACAGACTACTGCCAAGAGCCAAACACGAATATATTTCTAATAATGATAATACAATACAGGCAGTTTTGGTTAACACTGTATACTACCATTCTGTGGCAAATGAACATATTGTTGCCTAACAGCTGGTTAAAATAATTCTATTGAACCATGGACTAATTACACTAAAGACTTTCACTGTAAATGCGCCGTTTTACCGCTCTAAATATGATTCAGCGATGGGAGTAGAGATGGCGCGGCTTGTATTTTAAGAAAATTATAAGATCAAACGAACTTACCTAAGTGATGTTCGATCTTAATTATATGAAGCGCTCCGCCCGAGATGATCAACAATATGTAGTATGTCTCCTGGAGTGAGTAATAGCACACATTTTTAAATCTGAAACTATTTTACCGACCCAACCCTCTGGTATCCTGTGTAGGTGTCATTACTATCATTCTTTTGAAAGCTCCTTTTTTGTCGCAACTAGATGATCGGGGTAGACACTTGGGTTGGGAGGGACCGATCATCTCGGGCGGAGCGCTTCATATAATTAAGATCGAACATCACTTAGGTAAGTTCGTTTGATCTTATAATTATATTTGCGCTCCGCCCTCTATGATCAACAATATGTAGATGTTTAAAGAGTTGCGACAAACTACAAATAGAACTGATTTATTTCCAGAAGTAGA